AACGGCATATATCTTATCATCCAATCTATGCTTTACTTTAAATACAGTCCCAAAACTACCCGAACCTATGGCTGACATCTCAATGAACTGGGTTTCATAATTACCATCACTTGAATTATTAGCATTTATTTGTGGAGTACTTTCAATCTCAATAAATTGGTTATTATAGACGGACATGGTTGTAATTATTAAAGTAAACTATTTATTTAACAATTAAATCATTTACTTCATAGACTATAAGTTATAGTTCATAATAAGTTGCAATAAATAAACTAATTTTACAAATATCTTATTTTAAACTCATTTGCTTTATTTTATACATTTATGTGATTTTGTTAATTACATTTCAGTCCAACACATGAAACATTATTTATTATTGTATAACATTTTTAAACCAATGAAACAATGATTACTGCCATAGTTTGAAACACAGTTTGTATATTAAATATATTGCATCATTACACATCGTACGAGCAAAAGTATCATGTTTAGTTATTTTATACTAGCATCAATAATAGTGATGAATACAGATTATAATAAAATATCTATCTTAATTTGAATCATATTATATTCTATGCATTATTATTGCATCTAAAATAGCCAATGGATATCCTGTTTATATTATGTCTAATATGTTTACTTTAGCATATTTTTATTATTAACTATGTTTTCTAAATTCATATTAAAATGTTACTTGATATATGCTTTCTGCCAAATGCTAGCGATTTGTATATAAGTTATGTTTGATTAAAACATTACAAAATTTGATGTAATGTAAAATTCATATAATAAAAATAATGACCATTTGATATAATGTGTTAACTAGTGTTTTATATTGTATAAGTAGTGTAATATTATAATTTATAAAACAACATGGTTTGAGTGGTAAATGTCCTGGGCTTTAAACTGAAATTGTTTTATTTAAAATTAAATTATGTAATTTTTAAATCGTGATTTTTCATAATTACAGCATAAATGTTTTCATGTTATTTAAAGCAAAAAAAATACTATTTTCTTTACTAATCATGTTATTTTTTAAAAATTAAATAATTTTCATTTATTATTCAATTTATAAATTCAATTCTAACTCCTATTTAACATTGAATGCAATATTAAATAACAAAATTGTTTATACAGTAATCAAAACTGGTAATGCGGTGTCTAATACTAACACCATATACAGTGCAGTGTCTGAGCGCTAACAAAACAGGTAGAATGCCGTTATATGTGTACAAAGGTTAGCACAGTATTAGGCAAAGGGTTACCACATTTCCACTTGATTGCATCACATCATGCAATACATCCCATGACAAATGCATTCTTGAGATGAGTCACTTGTGGTCCTATTCTATGCATGTAGTTATAACATATAAAGCTTATATTATAAACCCAGCTCACAGTTATTGGCCATCTCTCTGGTTGTGTGCATCAAAATTTTGCTCAAAATAGTTTGAATCAATTTTTATACTCATCATATTATAAAACAATCACACATTATCACTATGGGAAAGATGTCTTATAAAAATAATCTTCATAAATATACATTCACCATGATCAAAGCCACACTCGCTCTGTTGTATGCGCTGGCATTCATTGGCTACATATTATTGTTGTGCCGGTGGGTGTCCACAGACCGGACCAACTTTGGTCCGGCAAAAGTACTGACATTGTGTGAAATGTATAACCAAAATGGTAATGCTTAGTAAATTAATATGATCATGTTAAGTATTTTTATACAATTTTTACTTATTTTCATCGGAAAATTTATCCTAGATTATTCATTGATGTCATTTGCGCCGGTATTTGGTCTACTAATAACATTCTTAGGCCTGTTTATAATAATTAAAAATAAGTGTATGTCGTTAATCCCAGTGGTGTTTATTTTGGTGCACATTGTATGTCATTTATTGTTGCATGAGTTTATGGTGGCCACCATTTGGACCATATTCTTCGCGCTCAATATCATATACTCAATATTACTGGAATACACGAACATAGAGTACAAAGCAAATGAATGCGATTATATTAATCGTTTGACCAAACAATTGATATCTACGGTCATCTTACGGTCCTTCACAGTAAAGGGTATGTATTCACCACTAAATCTCTCTCTCTCTCTCTCTCTCTCTTTCTCTCTCTCGTCACCAAATGATGACCTAAACTGCTCCGCAGGTGTGTCGGCCACAGTTGTCTGCGAGATATTGACCATGATTTTCGTGTCATGGGTCACACGTAAGGGCGAAATTGGAGAGTCCACCGCCAAACTCATCAACGCATCGGACATTGGCATCAAATTCAGGTTCAGTAGTGTTCACACACATAGGGCTTGTCATTCTCAACATCACGCAAACCCATCTCTCTCTCTCTCTCTCTCTCTCTCTCTCTGGTTGTGTGCATCAAAATTTTGCTCAAAATAGTTTGAATCAATTTTTATACTCATCATATTATAAAACAATCACACATTATCACTATGGGAAAGATGTC